CTTAGTTTCTTTGCATTGATTTAAAACCTGTTCTTTTAGCTCACAAAAGTTTCTCAATATCCACCTTCTGAAGTCTAATTCCGTCATTTCATCACAGTCATTCTCTATCCAGCTTTGTTCCCTTGCTGGTGAGGAGTTTTGGTCCTTTCTAGGCGGCGAGGTGTTCTGGTTTCGGGTGTTTTCCTCCTTTTTGCGCTGGTTTCTTCCCATCTTTGTGGATTTATCCACCTGTCGTCTGTGTAGTTGCTGAATTTTTGATTGGGTCTCTGAGTGGACGCCCAGATTGTTGATGATGGAGTATTTCTGTTACTTGGTTTTCCTTCTACCATTCTAGCCCCTTTGCTGTACGACTGCTGAGGTCCACTCCAGGCCCTGCTTGTCTGGGGTGCACCTATAGTGGCTGCGGAACAGCAAGGGATGCTACCAGTTTCTTTTTCTGCTATCTTTGTCCCAGAATGATGCCTGCCAAATGTCAGTCTTTTGGATATAGAGGGGTCAGGGAGTTGCTTGAGGAGACAGTCTGTACTTTGTAGGAGCTCAAGTGCTGAGCCGTGAGCTCTGTTGTTCATTCAGCGCTGCTAGGCTGCTATGTTTAATTCTGCTGCAACCTAACTCATAAAAAAACCCTTTTTTTTCCAGATGCTCTGTCTGGGGGCGGGTTTGGGCTTTCCTTGTGAGTGTCCGCCTCACTGTCCTGCCCAGCTAGGAGGCAGTCTAGTCACTTTTTGCCTGCCGAGGCTCTGCCCTGCTGGTGTGAGGTTCGCCCTGTTGCTGCAGTCTCCACCCTGTTGCCAGGAGCTATACCCTGAGGTGGAGTCTCTCTGTTGTACCCGGTTGCCTCAGCAACGGCAGGCTGCGTCAGCAATGGGCGTGTACCTCCGTAGGGGCTGATTGCCTCGGTAATGGCGGACGCCCCTCCCCCACGGAGCTGCGCTTTAAGAAAACCTTTTCACCGGGAGCGTTTGGAATCGCCGTTTTGTTTGTCACACTGCGCTACCCCCAACGCTGAGTCCCTGGGATTTCCTGGGCTGGCTCACAGTCCAAGTCTTATTCAGTCTCAAGTTCAGCCCTCTCGGGTCTCAGTTTGCCAGTTCAACAGGGCACCCGTAACAGTGCGCTTTTGTATGGAGCGCTGTGTAGCGCCTCTGCTCCCCGGCACGGGCCGGTGCCGCACCGGCTGCCGGCTACACCAGCCGAGACCTCTGCCTGGCGTCCTGCGTCTCTTTTATACCTGGGAATTTCCCCATTCTGTGGGCAACTAAGATCCGTCTGGAAATGCTTCCCCGACTCACCCTCTCCGCGCATCCAGCGAGAGCTTCAATCCTGGGTTGTTCTCACAGCGCCATTTTCAAGTTCTGTGCACACCGTTTTAAAATATCAAGATGAAGACTAGAATCCAGGTATCCTGATTTTTAATAATTTCTCCTCCTCTCCATCCTGCCCCCCCACCGCCCACCCCCGTTTATCTCAAGAAGTTAAAAGAGGTTTCTTCTCTCATTTGTCCATTTGCAAGAAAGCATTTTGTTTATACTTTGCTCGAATACTTGAAGAATCACGCTGAACTTAAATAAATGGACATCTATTTGATGAAAAAATATATATATATTGTCCTAAGTCAAAGAACTTGGTGATAATGAAGATTCTTCAATATAGTTCCTGTTGTTTGGTAATACTTTTCCTGAAAATTATCCCATCTGTCTAATTGAGTTAGTATTTTATTCCAGAACACAGGAATTAGTACCATAAGAGTAAGCATGTCTTGATTTAAGAAAACTTAAAATTGAAAGACATAAAATACAATGGGTAACTACTTACTTTCCTGAACACAGGAGTTAGTACCATGAGAGTTAGCCTGTCTTTGAGCAAGGACTTCATGACTAAAACACCAAAAGCAATGGCAACAAACGCCAAAATAAACAGATGGGATCTAATTAAATGAAAGATCCTCTGCACAGCAAAAGAAACTATCATTAGAGTGAACCAGCGAACAACAGAATGGAAAAAAAGTTTGGCAATTTACCCATCTGACAAAGTGCTAATATCCAGAATCTACAAAGAGCTTAAACAAATTTACAAAAAAAAAAAAAAAAAAAACCATAAAAAAGTGGACAAAAGATATGAACAGACATTTACACAGCCAACAAACATATGAAAAAAGTTCATCATCACTGGTCATTAGAGAAATGCAATCAAAACCACATTGAGATACCATCTCATGCCAGTTAGAATGGCAATAATTAAAAAATCAGGAGACAACAGAGAGAGGATGTGGAGAAATAGGAACACTTTTACATCATTGATGAGAGTGTAATTAGTTCAACCATTATAGAAACCAGTGTGGTGATTCCTCAAGGATCTAGAACTAGAAATACCCTTTGACCCAGCAATCCTGTTACTGGGTATATACCCAAAGGATTATAAAACATTCTGTTACAAAGACACAGGCACACATATGTTTATTGCAGCACTGTTCACAATAACAAAGACTTGGAACCAACCCAAATGCCCGTCAATGATAGACTAAAGAAAATGTGGCACATAAACACCATGGAGTACTTCAGCCATAAAAAAGGATGAGTTCATTTCCTTTGCAGGGGCATGGATAAAGCTGGAAACCATCATTCTCAGCAAACTAGCACAAGAACAGAAAATCCAACACTGCATGTTCTTATAAGTGGGTGTTGAACAATGAGAACACATGGACACAGGGAGAGAAACATCACATACCAGGGCCTGTCAGGGAGTGGGGGGGTTAGGGAAGGGATAACAGCGGGTGGCAGGCTAGGGATGGAATAGCATTAGGAGAAATCCCTAATGTAGATGATGGGGTGATGGATGCAGCAAACCACCATGGCACGTGTATACCTATGTAACAAACATGTACCCCAGAACTTCAATCATTATTTTAAAAAGTTAGCATGTCTTGGCTTAAGAAAACTTAAACTTGAAAGACATAAAATACAAAGGGTAACTACTTACTTTACAAAAGGAATCAATATTTCATTAAAGGGTTCTCATAAATAGCCCACTTAAATTATTAGTTTATAATGTGATTTTATGTTCTATTTTGTTACTCAACAGTTATTATCAAGTGCCTGCTGTGATGCCAGAGGATACGGTGGTGAACTTAACATACCAGATCCCTGCTCATGAGCTTATAATTTACTTTAATCAGTAAATAAATGACCAGCCAAACAGACAAATCGGAAAACGCTTTGTAGAGAATTAATAATAAAGTAATAGGCTGGTGTGATGTAGAATGGCTAAGAGGCTGCTATAGATTACATGGCAAGGAAAGGTCTTTTTAGTTGCAGTCATCTAAACTGAGATTTTATACACAAGAGCAGGATTTTTTTTTTCTGAGACGGAGTTTCACTCTGTCACCCAGGCTGGAGTGCAGTGGTGCAATCTCAGCTAACTGCCACCTCTGCCTTCTGAGTTCAAGTGATTCTCTTGTCTCAGCCTCCTGAGTAGCTGGAATTTTAGGTGCCCACCACCACACCTGCTAACTTATTTTTTTGTAGGGGCGGAGTTTGGCCATGTTGGCCAGGCTGTTCTCAAACTCCTAGGCTCAAGTGATCCACCTGCATTGGCTTCCCAAATTGTGGGAATTACAGGCCTGAGCCACCATGACTGGCCAGAATTCTATATTCTACTTTCTTTCTCTCTCTCTTTCTTTCTTTCTTTCTTTTCTCTTTTCTTTTCTCTTCTTTCTTGAGACAGTCTCACTCTGTCACCCAAGATGGAGTGCAGTGGCACCATCTTGGCTCACTGCAACCTCCACCCTCCAGTTCAAGCGATTCTCCTGCCTTAGCCCCCCGACTAGCTAGGTTTGGAGGTGTACACCATAACATCCTGCTAATGTTTTATGGGGTTTTTTTTGTTTGTTTTTGGGGGATTTTTTTGTTTGTTTGTTTGTTTGTTTTTGTATTTTTAGTAGAGACAGGTTTTCACCATGTTGGCCAAGCTGGTCTCAAATACCTGGCCTTAAGTGCTCCGCCACCTCAGCCTCCCAAAATGCTGAGATTACAGATATCAGCCACCATGCCTGGCCTATATTCTACTTTTTAATAAACATCTAGTATATGATTTTTCACAGCTAAAGTGTCCTTTAGCCTTAACATTTTGGTAACCTGAAGAGATTTATAGGTAGCTTCAGTGGCCCTTTTAAATCCACAGATTGTCTCTTTTTCTCTAAGATTTGATAACTTAGCTGAAATGCCATCCACTGATACAGCAGCCTTATACTGTAGACTTGAGAGAAATTTCTATTTGCCTAAATGTTTTTAGAAAGCTGGATTTTCTTTCTACTTCTAAGTGGCAATATTATAATAGAGTTTCATTGCCTTGATCTTTCATTTACCCGTGACGGATATCAATTTCCTTACAGGTAGAGAAGCAATTCAGAATGCATGCCTATCACGCCTCTGGAATCAACTAAAATGGCTTGCTGGAATTTTTGGAGGAAGTACCCCCTCAGCATAACCTAAGAGTCACTCATAGGTTCTTTATATATATCAAGGACCTACTATCATTCATCTTTTCAAACAACTTTTTAAATAACCTGTTTCTAACAACTTTAATTTACTGTTACAAATTGTGCTTTTACTAGTGACTGTTATCCAGAGGATTCTGAAATTTGAGTAGTTCCTAGATTAAAATACTCTGGATTTTATAGCTCTTAGAAATGGAATTTTCACTTACTGAAATGTAATACTCTTGACTACAAGCCTTATTCTTTGAATTAAGAATATTCTTATAGCTCTCTAGTTTAAAATGATGTGAATATAAATTTATACAAGGAAGAATACACTTATTAGAATGCTTCCAGTGATGAGAGATTGTATCATAGAAAGAACACTTGAAAGAAAGCTCACTTATCAAAAATGTTTACTTGGATTTTACGTAAGCTTATGATGTATCAGCTAGCTCTAAGTGTCTGATAATGATGTACCTATCATATGTTTATTCCTCTTCTCAATTTTTCTTTTATTTTATAGGATGTCTTTGGCCCAGAGGAGCCTCTGCTTTCTTAGTGGGAGAGCAGAATTCTTGAAGACAATTTCTTCCAAAATCCTCGGATTCTCTACTTCTGTAGGTATTGCTTACTTACAGATAAGTTATTGTACCTATTCATAACTGTCTTGAATTCTCTCTCTCTACTTTAATGCCACCATGACCACCTTTCTTCAGGCCCTCTCCCAACACAGAAGTCAGCTGAAGCCAAGGGAGTGGGTGTGCTTACCCAAGGTGACCATATGAAGCCATGGCACTAAATGGGTGTTTGTGTGCAGAATCATCCTTTGTGGAACTTTTATTAGACTACATATGCCAGGGCCCATCATGAGCTGTTCTGATTCTGTATATCTGGAATGTATTTTGAAAAATCTTTCCAGGTGATTCTGATGTATGTACCAGGCAAGAACCACTGGCAATGCATGATTCACACTTGCGGACTATTTGGGATAGCACTAAATCCTCTCCATACCTAGCAGTGGAATGGTTGGATTGCATAGTAGCTTTATGTTTTATTTTTCAGTAACTGCAAAAGTGTTTGTACCATTTTAACTACATTGGAAAAGTGTCTACACATCATCAGAGGCTTTGCATTTAAAACAGTCACACAGGGATAAAGAGATAAATATTCTTCCTATTGATGGGCAAATGAAAAAGACTGGCCAGTGTTACAAAAGCGATGATTAAATCAAGAAAGACTTGTCAGAACCAGCCATATAATTTCCTGTAAACCTACTTAGAATGTTCATTTCATCTACATAATCCTTAGTGTCATTGAAAACCTGCTGGGAAGGTTACCTCCAAGGAAGGGAATAGAATGGAGGATATGCTGTACTTTCCTGTATTACTTGCTTTTCTACAAAAATATTTTACTTATTACTTCTCTAATTTTAAAGAATGTTTTGAATGCTAAAAGAAAAATGTAGACGGGCATGGTGGCTCACACTTTGGGAGGCTGCAGCCAGTGGATCGCTTCACACCAGGAGTTCAAGACCACCCTGGGCAACATAGCACAACCCCATCTCTGTTAAACATACAGAAAAAATAGCTGGGTACATACCTGTAGTCCCAACTACTTGTGAGGCTGCAATGGGGGAATCACCTGAGCCCAGAAAGTCAAGGCTGTAGTGAGCCATGTTTGCACCACTGCTCTCCAGTCTCCCGGAAGGGAGAGAGGAAGGGAGGGAGGGAAAAAGTTTACTGCTATATAACAAGAGGAAGAAAAGGGAGAAGAGGGGAGGGGAGGGGAGGGCAAGGGAGAGGAGGGGAATGGAGGGGAGGGGAAGGAAGGGAAGGAAAGAAGGAAAGAAAGGAAGGGGAAGAAGGAAAGGGGAAGGGGGAGAGGAGGGGATACAAATTGCAATCTCAGCCGGGTGTGGTAGCTCACGCCTGTAATCCTGTAATCTCAGCAGTGCAGGCAGATCACCTGAGGTCAGGAGTTTAAGACCAGCCTAGCCAACATGGTGAAACCCCATCTCTACTAAAAATACAAAAATTAGCCAGGTGTGGTAGTGGGTGCCTGTAATCCCAGCTACTAGGGAGGCTGTGGCAGGAGTATCACTGGAGCACAGGAAGCACAAGTTGCAGTGAGTTGAGACCGCACTACTGCACTCCAGCCTGAGTGACAGAGGGAGACTCCGTCTCAAAAAAAAAAAAAAAAAAAAAAAAATTCCGTCTGAAGGACTAAATCTGAAATGAAGATTAGTCTAACAAAGAGTGGCATGTGATGGGTTGTCAAGGGAGTATGTGGGAACTCCCTGTACTTTCTGTTCAACTTTGCCTTGAACCTAAAACTGCTGTAAAAAATAGTCTATTAATTTTTTAAAAAGAGCTTCTGAAATTTAAATGTCCACCAGAGAAGCACAAAAGCAACACTGGACAAAACCTTTTCTTTAGGTCTGTCCTTCCTTAAAGAAATCAACTCTCTCCCCCCGCCCCCGGCAGAGTCTCCCTCTTGTTGCCCAGGCTGGAGTGGCGTGATCTCGGCTCACTACAGCCTCTGCCTCCCGGGTTCAAGCGATTCTCCTGCCTCAGCCTCCCGAATAGCTTGGTCTACAGATGCCCGCCACCACTCCCAGCTAGTTTTTGTATTTTGGTAAAGATGGGGTTTCGCCATATTGACCAGGCTAGTCTCAAACTCCTGGGCTCAAGTGATCTACCCTGATAAGCCTCCCAAAGTGCTGAGATTACAGGCATAAATCACTGCATCCAGCCCAACCCTCTCTTTTGATATGAAAGTATTACCTTTTGGGCGGGGCGCGGTGGCTCAAGCCTGTAATCCCAGCACTTTGGAAGGCCGAGGTGGGTGGATCATGAGGTCAACAGATCGAGACCATCCTGGTCAACATGGTGAAACCCCGTCTCTACTAAAAATACAAAAAGTTAGCTGGGCATTCTGGCGCGCCTATAATCCCAGCTACTCAGGAGGCTGAGGCAGGAGAATTGCTTGAACCCAGGAGGTGGAGGTTGCGGTGAGCCGAGATCTTGCCATTGCACTGCAGCCTGGGTAACAAGAGCAAAACTCGATCTCAAAAAAAAGTATTACCTTTTGTACATTTAGGCCATACCCTACATCTTTGCCTCCTCTAGTGCAAAGTTACTCATCCTACTTGTATCTGAGAGAATCTTCTATTTTCTGAGTGGGCACTGGTTTTGGAGTGTATATATATTGTGTGCCATGAACTATGTTTTTCCACTTACGGCTTTGCCTCATTTAATTGCCATAGCACTTACATGGGGCAGGTATTCATTTTCCTGCTTAACAAATGAGGAAACTGAATTTCAGAGATGTCGGGTAACCTGCCTACTTCACACAATAGGAGTTTTGATGTTTAATTTTGAACTAAGATCTGGCTTGAAAACTCTTTGCATTAAACAACCTTGAACAATATCAATATACTTAGGATGTAGGTGTATTTTGATACTTACTTCAGTATACTTAGGATATCCTAAGTATATAGGATAACCTATATTGATATCCTAAATATATCAATATACTTAGGATGTAGGTGTATTTTGATACTTACAGATTCAAACTTACCAATCTTCCTGGTGCAAGTGCCCAGCAGAAACCTGTTTCTCAGTCTCAAACCCAAACTTCCAGTTGTCCTGATTGGTTCAGCCTGATTCTGTCCAACTCTGATTAAATTAGAGCTGTGATTGGGGGGCTGAGATTACACAGTGTAGGCAGGCAGAAGGGACCCAGGCCTATTGATACGCGTGAGGACAATATTCGCACCCTCTCTTCACTTACTCCTCCAAGGTCTTGGCTTGAGCCCAATTTTTTTTAAGAGAACAAATCAGGCTTTTTGTTCTTGGCTTGACCTAACTCCATATCCTGGCATTCCAGCCATGTATTTACACATGTTATCAGCTCTTGGATTTAGAGAAATCCTTGTTTGCAGTAAGCTTGTTTCTTTAAAGTAGCTGTTAAAAAAGATAATTTTCAGAAAAAAGTTAAATCATGACTCATACAAATATAAAAACAGCATGTGCTAAAGATTTTTATTTTACTCATGTGATATGAGGGAAACAGACAGAAGTGATAACCAGTACAGAGCAAAGTCAATAAGCACAAATTTATATGTAGTAAAGGAACTGGATTGCGAATGAAGGCAAAACTCTTTTTTCCACAGGGTAGAGGGAAGATAATCAAAACTAGAACTGGAGTCTGCATGTCTATCACTTAGCTTCAATTTATAAAAGCACAGAATAACTGAAGGACATATTCTAGCCTTGTAAATATCAGCTGTAAAGCTGTGCTGTGACCAGTACATAGTTCTTTTTGGTTTTTTGGGGTTTTTAAATTTTTATTTATTATGCTTTTTTTTAAATGAGACGGAGTTTCGCTCTTGTTACCCAGGCTGGAGTGCAATGGCGCGATCTCGGCTCACCACAACCTCCGTCTCCTGGGATCAGGCAATTCTCCTGCCTCAGCCTCCCAAGTAGCTGGGATTACAGGCACACGCCACCATGCCCAGCTAAGTTTTTGTATTTTTAATAGAGATGGGGTTTCACCATGTTGACCAGGATGGTCTCGATCTGTTGACCTTGTGATCCACCCGCCTCGGCCTCCCAAAGTGCTGGGATTACAGGTGTGAGCCACCGCGCCCGGCCTTTTTTATTTATTATGCTTTAAGTTCTGGGATACATGTATAGAACGTGCAGGTTTGTTACATAGGTATGCATGTGCTATGATGGTTTGCTGCACCTATCAACCCATCATCTACATGAGGCATTTTTCCTAATGCTGTCTCTCCCCAGCCTCCCACTCCCTGACATACCCTGGTGTGTGATGTTCCCCTCCCTGTGTCCATGTGTTCTCATTGTTCAACTCTCACTTATGAGTGAATACATGCAGTGTTTGCTTTTCTGTCCTTGTGTTAGTTTGCTGAGAATAATGGTTTTCAGCTTCATCCATGTCCCTGCAAAGGGCATGAACTCATCCTCTTTTATGGCTGCATAGTATTCCATGGCATATATGTGCCACATTTTCTTTATTCAGACTATCATTGATGGGCATTTGGGTTGGTTCCAAGGCTTTGCTATTGTGAACAATAGCAAATAAATATACGAGTTCATGAGTCTTTATAGTAGAGTGATTTATAATCCTTTGGGTATATACCCAATAATGGAATTGCTGGATCAAATAGTATTTCTGGTTCTAGATCCTTGAGGAATCGCCATACTGTCTTCCACAATGGTTGAAGTAATTTACACTTTCACCAACAGTGTCAAAGTGTTCCTTTTTTCTTCACATCCTCTCCAGCATCTGTTGTTTCCTGACTTTTTAATGATTGCCATTTTCTCCATGTGGTTTTGATTTGCATTTCTCTAATGACCAGTTACGATGAGCTTTTTTTCATATTTGTCGGCCACATAAATGTCTTCTCTTGAGAAGTGTCTGTTCATATCCTTCGCCCACTTTTTGATGGAGTTGTTTTTCTTTTGTAAATTTGTTTAAGTTCTTTGTAGATCCTGGATATTAGCCCTCTGTTGGATGGCTAGATTGCAAAAATTTTCTCCCATTCTGTAAGTTGCCTGTTCACTCTGTTGATAGTTTCTTTTGCTGTGCAGAA